GTCAAAAAAGAGAAATACAAAGAATATAAGACAAACGTATTGAGTCTTATGTTTTATACACCGTTTATATGAAAAAAGAGTTTGTGTTGTATTGGTATAAGAATTGCATAAAAAATAAACTTTTCCTTTCGTATAGTAGAAAGAAAAAATAGTTAACTTAAGCCTCATATAAGTCTTATATTATAAGACATTAACAATCAAAGAATTAGTCGATAGGAAACAAAGATTTAGTGGCAAATACTTTCACAATATATTTTATACAATACTATACTGTATTGTAGTGTACAGTGTAAAATGCAAACAGAATATAACACAATATTATTTAATAATTGAATTCCTATTGACTAACATAGCATAACAGCACATATAAGGAATGCATGAATAATGCATTTTTGCATTTATTATATAATATAATTTTATATAAATAGCAAATGTCTCATTATAAGGGCACTGCAAGCACTGGATTTATATAATTATTGTCGAAATAATTAGTTATGAATTAATAATTTTTATATTAAAATTATTTTGCAATAATTCACTTACAAATAATGAAACAGTAATTGAAAATTCCGATATTAAAATAAAACAGCTCCAAACTTATTAAAATATTATAATAAATCCATTGAATTAAACACTTTACTGATAAAACATCACTGAATATATCCGGAATGAATAGCACAGTAATTGTTTGAAACAAAATCTGTGTTCACATTATGAGTGCAGTTATAATAGTGAGACACTATTCTCGCGATGCATTTCATACACACTTCTGGAGAGTCTGTCAGTTATGGTGAGTGTGTGTTGTGTTGAGAACCCAAACAAGTAATGACGAGAATATCATATTCTCATTGAGTTCTTGAACACAACTTACGAAATATAAAAATAAGAAATCCTTTTTGATATCTTCTTAAGCGCAAGACTTGAGGTCAGGCTCTCTCTCTCTCTCTCTCTCTCTCTCTCTCCTACCAGTCTCTCAGCAAACGCACACCTCTTTCATATACAATGTATACTTGTTTTTTCAATTCATTTCTCGATTCCTATACTAAACACATAACGTATATATAATATTTTAAAAGACATTCTCTCTATACTTGTATTGCATTCATAAGTGAATAGAAACGAAAAAAGTGTAGAAAATTGAAAATAGAAGCGAAAAAGTAGGAACTTATAGCCAAAAGCTATGGTTAACTAAAAAATGTCAGAAAAACAATAAAAACTTAAATAAGAGAATGGAAAGTACAAAAGGCTACAAACACTATAACGGGGCACACAATTAGTTAATTTTCTCAACAATTAAGCGGTCGATTATATTGGTTGACCCCGCAAATTAATCATATACATATATTCTAGTAATTTATTATATGATCAGTATCAATAATAGAATATGAAATCATGTTTTTGACCTTAAACTAAATTAAACCCGTCGGGACGTTTTAAGGCCGTGGCGGCCTAATCGGATAATCAGAAACTTAATTAAAATTAATTTCTTTATTAGGGATAGGTAACCAATTGAGTCTAAATTCATAATGAAACCTTAATTAGTAAAAAATTCCAGATAATTAATAAAATTAATCGAAAAATTACATAATTTCTTAACGTAGATTTTTGCTTAAAAAATTAATTTTATTTGAAAATTTATAAATATTGATCAATTAAGCTTATAATTATAAATTAACCATAAAATAATTAAATTAACTATAAAATATTAAAAATATGAAGATTAAATAAAAAATTTAGTACATTTTTACAATTAAATCTAAATGATTGTTATTTATCTTAAAAAGTTGAAAAGTGTTTACAACTGATTTAGTTACATAAAATTTGATCCTAATTAAATAAAAATTTTAAATAAAGCTAATCTTATTAAGATATTCTTTCTGGTTAATTTGAGTGCTTATTTGTTAAAATCTGTCCACTAATAATTGAATTATTAAATAATATATCAATTAATAACTTATAATTTTTCATGACTCAAACACTTTTAAAATGTTATTTTATTAGATCATTGAAATTAAAAATTAAACTTAGAATTGATAATAATTTAAACTTAATACACGTATTGATTAGGTTTCATTGATTAATTTGCGGGGTCAACCAATATAATCGACCGCTTAATTGTTGAGAAAATTAACTAATTGTGTGCCCCGTTATAGTGTTTGTAGCCTTTTGTATATTCATTTATTAATTTAAGGTGTTGATTATAATTTTTGGACAATAAATTGTGGAGAAAATTAACTAATTCAGTGCCCGGATTCGGTCCTTATCGCCCTCAGTAGTGTATAACTAAAAATATAAGTTAAACACTATATGGTTAAAATATTATTAGGATATAATGTTTTTGTTAAATTATAAATATTTTGTTATTATTGCTAAGAATTATAATTTAAACTGTATGTTTACTCGTTGATATTTTAATGATTATTATTATGGATTATTTTAATAGTAGGATAATTTAACTTGATAAATAGTTTGTTGTTGAATCGGTTAAAATATGAATTTAATTTAAAATTTACAGCAATTTGTTGGCAAAATTGGGTAAACATTATAACATCAAAACCAAACCATAGGCTGAATATACTGGCAATGAATACCACGTACTCCTCGAAAGACATTTTCAATGATATCTCGTATACAGTGGTCGGTTCGGAGGGCACCGTTATCTCAATATTATACTCGATGAGCTTGTTATTGTGCTTGATACTATCGTAATTATAATCCATGGCATAAAAGTGTTGAACGCATTCAAATCTATCACTACACGTATACTCGCATTCATTAGGGATTTTATTATCGCCCCCAATATCTAGCATTTTAAAAAATAAGCTAACATTACTGCGCGAATAAGTATCAGCATCATTTTTATAAAACAGTATTTGACTATCAATTGTCATGTTGCTAGCTACATATTTATTTATATAGCACTGGTAGATACACTCGTGTCGTGTCTGTCTAGTAAAGCATTTATGAAAATACCGATTAATAGTATATTTCACTACAGTTTCGCGATATCTTATTTTGAGCAAGGTGTTATTTATTAGAGAAAATTTGTGGCTACCTTTCCGATTAGCGTAATATAAGCGCTCATAAGGGGAGTGTATATTAAGTGTCACTTGTGTAGCTGGCTCAAATAGTCGTATTGTTTTAACGTTGTTAAGCTGTTTTTGTCGGTTTTCATTAAGTTGAAATGTCGAGTTCACCTTGCTAAAAAGGGTTAAACAATACAAACCGCCATCAATAGACACTAGAAACTTTTGGCTGAAATACTTGCAAGGTGGTTTGATAATTGAATTATATCTCTCGTTGTATATACTGGCTAAACATTTGTAGTCATTTCCGGTTTTTAATAATTTGTATTGATTTTGAATCGTGGTCATATTATTAAAGAAACGAATATAATATCTATGATCCATGTTTTCATATGAAGAATTCTTTCGAGTATCATAAATGAAATAAGTTTGCTTGGGCACACATGTAGTATAAGCAGGTAGCATTAGGTTTCCTGTATTAGGCTCGTAATTAACATTAGTAGTGGTTTCGTACGAAAAGTATAATAAACTTATTTTATACGTTTGATACACACATCCCATTAAACATAACAAAATGCATATAATTTTATACATATTTTTAAAATTTAATTGGATCATTTTAATACACCATAAATGTTATATACTAGTAGTTTAGTGTCAAAAGTAATCTATAAACTAGTGGAAATTTTACTGCGAAATAAATATAATATAATTGTCTACAAGTACACTATACCTTTAATGTTGTAAACGCCTATGATCAATAGTAATAATTGTTTTGCTAATAATCTTTATTGAGAATAAATTAAAAATTATGTTTACAATACAATAAATGTATAATTTAATTAAATATACAATAAATTCGTGTGTGTGTGTGTGTGTGTGTGTGTGAGAGAGAGAGAGAGAAGATTTCGGCTGTAATAGAGGTTTGGATTAGTGTTTGTGGTATGAAGTGGTGGATCAGTTGCGGTGATCAGTATGAGTGACAGTTAGATAGTGAGTGAATAGGGATTGCGAGAGAGTATGTGAGAGAGAGAGAGAGCTAAAAATTGAATGACAAGTTTCTCCTTAAAACCCGATTAATTACATTTATATTTACAAATATTATTAGATATTTGCTTACATTTTATTTTACAGTTGGACACACATTTGTAGTGAAGACTTTTAAGTTTGGAAAATTATTAATTTTAAAATTGTTTAGGATAATTTTTATGTAATACTAATCCAGGTAATATCTAGAAATTATCGTTATTATAATAAAATGCATACAAACCCTCCGCATACCATAACCCTATTATCTTTGCGTCGGAGTCTCAACAGCACCTGATAGGGGAACTGACCCCTCGTGGCCTCATCGCCGCCCAATATCTTACCGGTGCCTCCTTAATGGTGGTCAACCCACACGTGTTCACTACTATTATTTAAAAATAAATATGATTTATTAGCAATAATAACGATTCAATGTCATACTATATTTCTTACGGGATTTCCACTTAAAAAATATAAAATATAAATATTACCTGGTTAATGAATTGAGCATTATGTACATTTTTATCCGCTTTTGTGTATAGGAATAAAAAGTGAATACTAGAATCGCTTATTAAATTTAAATTATTTTATTTTCAAAAATTTAAGTTTATTAAATAAAAATAAATCAATTTATAATACAGTATATTTTAATATACAATTTGTGTAATATATTAATATAATATACATTTTATAAGAATGTACTGATTAGATCACATATTTTATAACAATATAATTTGACTTTAATTTATCTGCAAAATTGTCGGGAATTTATAACCAATTCATAAATTAATAAATTAGAAACAAAATGACTGATTATAATGAGAGATATTGTACTTATAAAAACTTTATAATATACAACAGTTAACAATATAAAATAAAATGTGCAATACAGTACTCATAATAAGTTTTCATTTATACTGAATAACTGTACAATTAATTCAAAAATAGTTGAAAAACAATAGGCATTGCAAGATGTCTGGCCAGACGACTGCAATCCAAGCTTTTATGCATCTTTTGAAGTCATATATCGGTTCGGGAATCCTAGCCATGCCTAAGGCCTTCAGGTTTAGTTAACCCTGCTAAGTCTAAAATGTTTTCATTTGTATGGACACATAATTCATAAAATTATTGATATAGTTATTCGGGAATAATTATCGGATGTATTGGCACCCCATTGATTGGCCTATTATGTCACACATGTATTCATATGCTGCTCCAAATTAACGATCATTTGTGTCAAAAGTTGGATACAAATCCTATGGATTTTGAGCAAGTTTGTATTTGTATAAATTAATCATTATATTTAGCAAAAATATTGTAAATATTTTTTGGAAATTGGATAAAAAGTTTGCATTTTATTGCATCAAATAGTTGGCCGAAAAGGCACTCATTGAGGGACCGAAACGTTTGAGAAAATACTCAAATGTCTCGCGACTTATAGTCACAGTCTTCCTATTCTCGGCACAAATGGGTTTTTGTTGCACTTATTATGTCTTTATTGCCAAAAATATCAAACAAGTAATACTCATATAAATTACAAAATTATTGCTGCCTTTCAATCATATATCAAATTATTTTAGTTTTTAGAAAACATGGACTTACAATGGGGTGGTGCTTCTATTCAATTGTATCTATTAGCGATACTGCCCTTTCTCATCTTGATCAGTTTTATCAAGAATATTAAACATTTGTCAATTGGCTCAATGTTTGGCAATGTGCTACAATTGGTATCGTTTGCGATCATTATCTATAACTTGGTGTCAGATGTGGATGAAAAGGAAACCAAACTACTGGGCAATAAAGTGCCCCAGTTTTTTAGTACCACCATGTTCACATACGAAGGAATCACTGTTGTGAGTGTTGTTCCCATAATTTGCACCCTGTCCCTATGTCATCAATTGTGTCATTAATGTTAAAACATTTTACAATTAAGACAATGGGTTTATACCGGTCAATGAAAAATCGCCACAATTTCGCCAAACCCTTCGGTGTTATCAATACGGCTATAGTCATCGTAATGACCAGTTATACAGTGGTCGGGCTGTTAGGTTATTTAAAATATGGCGATCAGGTGGAGGCCAGTATTACCCTATCGTTACCGAAAGAAGCCTTATATATAAGCGTACAGTTAATGTACTCAATAGCCATCACCATCTCATATCCCGTTCAGCTATATGTGGCCATACAATTAATTTGGCCCTTAATTGACAATAAGCTACGACAATTCAAAATCAATTCATTTATGATCGGGTCTTCAAATTATATGTTTCGCACACTTTTAGTGTTAATAACTTGTGAGTAGTAACCAAATGTGCAAGCATGATTTCATTGAGATTATTATTTTAATTATAGACGCTTTGGCCGCATTGATACCAAAACTTGAACTCATTTTGGCCCTAATCGGGGCCATCTCTTGCAGGTTTGACCGCAATTATGATCAAGCTCATTTGCTTGTTTCCTATTCACTGTGTTATACTGTAACCACTTTCACACTATATTTTTATACTTGTATTTTGCATTTTCAAAATAGCACCGTGGCTATTATGATACCTCCGATTCTGCATACGATTACATTTTACGATTTGACCCAAGGTATATACACTCTTTTTAATAATGTTAGCTTGGAAATAAAATGATGATACAATATTTGTTTCAATGAATGCTAACATATTGATGATTACCTAAAGAAACATATGCGAGGGTATGGATGTGTCTCAGGAATGGTGTGATTGTATTGTTTGGAATCCTTGGTTTCGTCGCCGGGACCTACTTTAGTATCAGTGATATCATCGAAAGTTACTCACAAAATACAATGGAAATGGATTAACATTTAATTTATACTAGCTGAATAATAATTTAATATGATAATTAATTCTACTGTATTGTACAGTTTTTATTTTATTATTTTGTTGATACCCTTATGGTTTGATATGAAATATTAATTTTAAATCAATTATAAACTACAGTGGAGTAAATAAACCTAACATTATCATTATTTAAATCCACTCAATTTTAATTTAAATAATTAACTTGTTAAATCTCATTTACATCATCACACATATTATGGTGTAGTTAACGGACTGTAAACATATCAACTAAATCAGAATATATCAACAAGCAATTTTATTAGTTTACTTTACTGGCAAGAACACACACTACAAAAATTTATTATAAAATTGTTCTAGGTATATATTTTATGGATTTAACATCATAATTGTATCAAAAATCAAATTTTATTGCAAACTCACTCATTACAAAAACTTTTCATTGAAACATAAATTTATTTAACACTAAATCCTCATAAAATTAAAACGATTTCAATGTAAACCCAAAACACTTGGCGCCGGTATTCCGGGAAACGGTATTCTCAATCCAACTCAAAAAATACGACACTTGCGTATAAACCCCATTGGGATCGTAGGCATTGGCGCATTGGGAGGGCCCTGTCGACACCACCCCTATCTGGGTATACCTACCCTTCATCCTAACAACCAGTGGACCCCCGGAGTCGCCAAAACAAGGAGACGTCCTATCGATGCCCTGACATAACATGGACTCCACGATAGGGAACGGGAAGTGATTCTTATGGCACTTCTGGTCGTCAATCAGTCCCACGTCTGTCCACTTGAGAACCGGCGATGACTTACCCTTTTCGGTGACCCCCCACCCAGTTATCCTGGCTTTTCCCTGGTATTCAAATGGCTTTCTACCCCTCATAGGTAGGCATACGCCGTTCACAGCGCCGCCTAATTTGTGGGTAAGGTTCAGGCGCTGGGAGTCGGGCAGTCGGACGAGGGCTAAGTCATTGGCGAACCCGCCCTTCATTCCGATCCACTTCTCGTTGATTAGCACACAGTCGCCGGACACCCGCTGGACACCGACATCCCTGTCCTCTTTACGGGTGGCACCGGCTGTCACTTCAATGGCCACCACATAGGGATCGCCCGTCCGTTCGTTGGTCACGCAGTGGGCGGCCGTCAGTATCCACCGGTCGTTCAGTATTGAACTGTTTGAGGGGAACAGTAGTTATTAATAATGGGAATAAAGTTTTTTTTAAGAATTTTCTATTAATTAATAATTGTAGTAAACTGTCCTTAAAATTAAGTTTTAATTTTATAAACTTTTTTTTGAATATATTAATTATTATTGATATAAATTAGTAAATAGGTGTTCAGTGAATTTTTTGTGAGTGTGAGTGAGTGAGAGAGAGAGAGAGAGAGAGAGAGAGAGAGCTAAAAATGAATGATGATCAGCCTATGTCCCATTTAATTACATTACTATTAATAAATTTTATTAAATAAATATTTGCATTTTATTTTACAATTGGACACGAATTTATATTGAAAAAGACTTGATATAGAAAAATTATTTATATTAAAAAGGGTCACGATAATTTTTATGTAATACTGCTCCAGGTAATACAGTATCTACAAATTATAGTTATAATAATAAAATGCATACAAACCCTCCGCATATCATAACCCTATTATCCTTGCGTCGGAGTCTCAACAGCACCTGATAGGGGAACTGACCCCTCGTGGCCTCATTGCCGCCCACTATCTTATCGCCTACCGGTGCCTCCTTAATGGTGGTCAGCCCACACGTGTCCACTACTATTGTCTCATTCGTCAACTTATTGCGAATTTTACCAAACAATGGATTTTTGTTATCAAAATAGTTGTCGGAATTATTGTCACAGAATATTCCGTACAAATAGTATGTTATCACAAAAATTATTAAGAATTTTTTATTATAAAATTCGGTGGGTGACATATTTAAATATTAAAAATAATTTGTTTTTGAAGTACTGTAATCACGATTTTATGTTAACACATATAGTATCGAAAAAAGTTTTTACAAATATTTGTAATCACTACTAAAAGTTTGTAATTTTTACATTTGAATGCCCGTATAATATTTTAGTAAAATTTACCACATTAATTAATAATTATATAAAAATTAGTTCAAAAAAGTAGGTAATATTTATATGCGGGCTTTGATTATTAATAATTAATATTATAATTATCTAAAATAATTATAAACATAAAAGGCTAATGATATATTTTTTTAAAACTTGATATTTTTGAAATAGCCCACAAAATTAATATTATTTTATCTAGCTTATAAATTTTTGATTATCAAACGGCTTATCAATTATTAAACAAATGGAAAATCCAATTATTATCACTTTTAATATGACAAGTTTACCAAATATATTGTATTGCGTACTTATAACAAGGGCATTTAATTTATATAACCAATTAAATATTGTTAATAAAGTAATAAAAAAAATTTTTATACAATAATATCGCGGGAAAGACATCCCATACTCGTTGCCGTGCGATGGCATAACTACAGGCGCTTTTGAATTTACACTAAAATACATGTATAGCGAGCGCCTGGAGCTCACTGATGGAGCTGGTAGTTGGCCAATGGTAGTCCAGGTGCTAAAACTGGCCGATTATTACCAGTTATATCGGCTCCGGGATCGCTGCGAACGGCATTTGATGGACAGTATGTGCGATGAAAGCGTGGAGGGAAGGGTATTCAAACAGATTATGTTTGAAAATGATATTTTATCAAAATCAAATCTCAACAAAACTTAGCAAGCATCGATATAATTTATTTAATACGTGGTTGACCATTTAATTAAATTATAATTAATAATAGTTTATATATTTTCATTAATTCATTCAAAAACTAAAACAAAAATCTAATCCTAAAGGACTGGAAAACGTGGAAATCATCGCCCGGTTAGCCAATGACTACCGGATGTCGGACTTAACATCCGTTGTGAAGGTATTTCTGGACACAAACTTCAATCACATCCTGTCCTCCAGAGGCCAGTCGTCTCTGAACTCATTGAACACATCCACTGATAACCTGTTCTTCGAGATTATGACCAAAAACTTCCGCAAAACTAAACTATTTTTTGAACCCATGACTAAAATCCGGACCTATTGTCACGGCTATAATAGGGCTAACTTTCAGTCCCGTTCCCATTATTACTATGAGGCCGATGCGGGCCAGTACTCAACATTCAGTTTCGATAAACTACATGAAAATTAATATTAAAGGCTAATTCACGGATAACACACTATACCTGGTCATTTACACACTTCATACACTTTAGTATTGTTTACACATTTATAGAATTATAAATTAAAATAATCCTTTGATTAACTTATTTATTACCGTATGTACGGTATGTCCTGTAAATAATTAGTAACCATTAGTGAAAACCTAAATTATTAAAATTTTAATATTAGTTTTATTAATAATAAGTAACTAGTTAATTTAACAATTTTATTATGTATGGATATAACAGTTCGCTTAACACATACATTAAGGTATTTATAATTTTTGGCATAAATTTTGATATACTTATTGGGCGTTGAATGACAAACCCGTATCATATTTTTGATACAAAAAAATATATACATTCATAGCATTTAATGATTACAAACAATCAACAAATACTGAATAAGGTTAATTGAAAAATATCTCAATTTATAAAATAAAATAAATCAACACTTTTTTGTGGTCAATACATTTCGTACGGGTTTTTGATTATTTGCGTGAAAATAGCGCTAATTATAAACACAAAACAAACTCGCAATGAAATAAAAATATTAAAAAAACTTTATATCAAAATCACCAAGCGCATATATTTATTAATCAAATAATTAATTCGTAAAAAACAAAATAAAAATCAAAACTAATTACGAGATTAACACTCAATTCAGTTAACAATCACTCCTTCCCTCGCTTGACGTCAATATCGGGGAACTGGAGGTCCGTTTTGGACGGGTATTGTACGTACAGCTTGCCCTCTGTGTCTACCACTTTCACCGGTTCCACAGTCAACGCCTTGGGCTGTATGGTGAGCGCCTGTAGCCCCGCGGTCACCGCTACCACCTCTCCATTAGCACTATCGGCGCCAGTGGACAGGGACTGCGAGCTCAGCCCCAACTTAAGCATACCGTGCAATAGGGCGTCCATAACCTTCCGACACGTGGGCACCGACTCTCCCGTCACCTCCAGAAGCATGTCTTTCGTCTCTTCCGTTATCTATTAATACATCAAAAAAGTGATTCAAATATTGGATTTTAAGGGAACAGTAGTTTAGAGATAATGTCTAAACTACGGGACAGTTAGCCCACACACCAGTGGCGGACAGACACAAACCTTCGTAGTCTCGGAGTTGATGAGCGGCGGTAGGGATATAACGGTCTGCTTGTCGTCCGTAACGCAGGGGAACCGTTGTTTACCCTTCAGGAGGAAGAGGTACTTATGAATGCCTGAATAGGACTGCCGTTTCTTCTCCTTCCGGTAGGCCTCCGCCTCTTCGTTCAGCTGTTTATACAACTCCTGCGCCGACATCTCTTTGG